CAAACAACCCGCACCACGAACCAGCGACAATCCTGCGCCACCACTCTCGAACATACCGCTTGTTCGAAGCGCACGACGCAACAGCGCCAAAAGGCTCCAATAGTACAGTGCGAGCAAATTGTCAAAACGCCTACAGGCGCCAGTAGTAACGAAGGGGCTAATATAATGTTAAGAGTGACACTAAGGTTGAGAAACTATAATTCCTTTCAAAAATTTATCACGCCTTTGAATAACGAAAACGAAGTACACAGATGGGCAAATATTTATGAATATATCAGAAGTGTAGATCCTATAAGTGTTACCAATTTATGAAAGAATCATATTTCCAGCACTATCTTCAATTCCACCACAATAAATGGTTGAACTCAGAGTCCAAAAACTTTTGTTACATACCTATTGTACCTATTTTTTGGGCCAACTTAAAATTGTCAGCCTTCCTTCAAAACTTCCAATCTCCCTTAAAAATCACGGTAATTCCAAACTTTCGATTAACAAAATACACAACGTTAACAATAGAAAATTACAGAAAATGTTTCAATCTTTGAAAAAGCAGCCTCGCGATACCTCAAACAAGCTACCAAAGCAAAAACCACCCCACCGTCTCCCATCTATCGAATTAAACCCCGAAGCCTGCCACAAAGCCGGTCGAAAATTACCCTCTATCCAAGAGCGACACAAAAATCGCCGGTTTCAATTACTCGACGCCGCAGAAGACCGACAGAGTCGAAGGACCGTTCGGTTGCCACGAACAATCGAGCACGCCCCAAGTGTTCGAGCGGCGCGCGTACGCGCCTCCGCGTTTCGAGCCGCGCTCGGCGACATCGGATGTATCAGAAGGCTAATTGTCTTTCGCTGTCAGTTGCACCCTATTTGGTCTTGTCCAAGGCACCCGGCCCTCCGGGCTACGACGATCGGACGCGGGCACGCCTCGAATTACACGCTAGAAAGGATAAAATAATTACACGTCGCCCCCTCTGCACCCCACCGTTTTTCTTCTTTTTTTTTTCTCGACTCGAGAGATTCCTACCTTTTCTCCCGTTCTTCTGTTCCTCCTTCTTTCTCGCGTTGTATGCGTGAATCTCGTGGGGCAAGTTCGGGGAGGTAGACGCGTGCTCGGGACGTTTCGTGTTTCCTCGCGAGAGGAACGGGACTGCTGGGGAGAATTGAATTTGTTTCGTGCGATTCTGCGGAATTGTTCGAATTGCATGCGAGATATTCGGGATTTAGAAGCTTTCGTGGATATAATAATAGGATTTCGATGTTTGATGCAGATGGTATTCAGACATTTTTATTTCTTATTTAATCTTGCGAACCGATTTGGCTCACACTCGAAGAATCTCCACGGCCAATATCGTCAGATATGGAAAATTTTGTCTAAATATCTTAAAAAGTGTAGCTTCTAGAAATTTTTCAAATGGAAATTCACATCCTTCTGTTTCTCCCGTAGTATTTCTAATTTCTAACTTCTGGCTGCTTTATGAATGGTGCAAAAGGGTTAAAGAAACGAATTTTCACAACTGACGTCGTCAGATAAGCAAAATTTCATTTAAATATTTCAAAAAATTTGGCTTCTAGAAATTTTCTTAATCGAACCTTACATCCTTCTCTTTCTCCTGTAGTATTTTTCATGTCTAACTTCTACCTGCTCTATGCTTGGTGCAAAAGGGTTAAAGATACGAATTTTCACAACCGGTATCGCCAATTAGTCAAATATTATCTAAATGTTTCAAAAAATTAGAATTTTTTTTTAATAGATCCTTACATCCTCCTGTTTTCCCGTGATATTTCCAATTTCTAACTTCCAGCTGCTTCATGCTCGGCGCAAAAGGGTTAAAGAAACGAATTTTCATTTAAATATTTCAAAAAATGTATCTTCCAGAAATTTTCTTAACAGAACCTCACACCCTTCTGTTTCTCCTATAATATTTCTAACTTCTAACTTCTAACTTGAATCGGATTAAAGAGACATCCCTTGAATAGTTCATCAAAGATTCCCAGCTGCAGAAACGATACAATCCATAATCAGAGAAGCAACGAGATATAAATAGTACAAACGCAAAAGTGTCATTTAAACGGACAGCGAGAGACGAAGAATTTTAACGAGGCCACGATACCACCAGTTTACCCCTCGCGTGGCCTAGCCAGGTAAAGGTTTGAGCGTAACACGTCATTGTGCCGCTTTGCATAATTTAATTCTTCCTCGCGCAGCAGCGATGATAAATACACACTGAATCCCATTGATTATTACCTGTCGCCTATCTGCATCGCGGAAATTATCGCTTTTCTCTCGCGAATCAAACACATGGTGAATATTACGCGCGACACGAACGTGCAATAAGCGACGTGCGAATGTCTGACTTCTCGAAATACATGGATTTAATCGAACAACTTATCGAGGGAATATTCGCGTGTCCGCCTGTGAACGTAAAAGTCCACCGTCGTTTGTAACTCCTCCCTTTTAATTGCCACTGAAATGTTCACACGAATGTCACGATAAAACGTTCCTTGATGTTTCTGACAGGATACGTGTTTTCAAGGTTGGAAGGGTTAATTGTCGTGATATTCCGAACACGTGTTTTATTTCCATTTGTCGTATAGATTTCTAATTTTTTCTTTTTTCTGTGTGTGATGCTTGTAATAATTTGTGCAATTTAGTTGAATGTCACCGGTTGTTGAATTTCACTCGAATTTATTCTACACGATCCGCCTGAACGATCAATTATTCCACCCTCGTGGATGTACCCCGCTGGTCAGTTCTGCCAGGAAGTAATCACTGGACTCGGAGAAAAATTGCTTTATTATGTATCTGGAAGTCCCCATCTACTTTTCAGTAGCCTCTTTTGCATGTAGAGAGAGAAGGAGGGAATTCTTTTTAGTTCGAGATCCTTATTCGAGGAAGGTTCAACGTTAACCCTGCCCTGAGTCCGTTCAACCGTGCTCGTATAACTTGAAACCGAGGCAAACTCTCTCGTTAAGTTGCATTTGTTTGACGAAACTCGGTCTTTCTTTCATTCGCCGTTTCGGGCGAAACATTGATATACACTACCGGCCAAAAGTTTGGAGTCACCGAGCATTGTAATTTACATAAAAATTTGCAGAAAGAAGTCAGCGACTTTGTCAGCGATATGAGATAAATTGATAAATGTAGAATTGAGATAAACTTCAGATCTATAAAATATTAGCAGCAGGTTTAATATTGATGAAAAGTGGGAGGTGATTCCATACTTTTGGCCGGTAGTGTACATTATCACTTGTGAGTATTTTTATAAGGAACTATTTTGCACTTAAGGAACTCTTAAGGAACTGTTGTTTAACAAAATATAATTTTTTTTACAAAATCGGTCACATTTTTGAATAAAGGGAAGAAATTTTCATTGCAATTTCCAAGAAATAAATCACGAATCTAATTTATTTTT